AAGGCATCCATGAAGCTAAGTAGTTCATACCCTGTGGTGGTGTCAACGAGGTGGTCTATCCTCAACAAAGGAAAATTGTCCTTCGGGCAGACTTGGTTAAGGTCTGTGAAGTCAATACATATCCGCCATTTCCCATTAGATTTCCTTACAAAAACTACATTAGCTTTCATTACCCAGTTAGGGTAATGTACCAAATGGATGAAGTCAGCATCAAGTGGCTTATCAACTTACTCTCCTATAGCCTTTCATCATTTCGGTGCAAAGTTCCTCTTTTTTTTTTCGAACTGGCTTAGATATCGGGTCCACGCTCAGCCTGTGAGTAATGATCGAAGGGTCAATTCCGGGCATGTCAGCGGCGGACCAAGCAAACACATCGACATTTTTTCTGAGAAAACTTACCAGTTCAAATAAGCGTTCAGAGGGGAGGCTAGACTCGATGCGGACTGTCCTTTCTGGGGCAGACTCATCCAGGAGAACCAAGACGAGGTCCTTGGCTGGCTGGCCTCGGCTCGCTGGTTCTTCCCAGGGGTCGAGGCCTTCTAGTGATAAGGCCTCCTTGTTCTTTTCTTTTAGCGCCGCTACGTAGCATTGGTGGGCAATCTGTTGGTTCCCATGAATGACTCTGACGCCGTGCTTGATGGGAAACTTAAGGGCCAGGTGATAAGAGGACATGGCTGCCCCTAGTGCATGAAGGGTTGGTCCTCCCATTATCGCGTTGTAGGGAGAAGCAACCTTCACCACTAGGAACTCATGCATCCAAGTCACCTGGTGTGGCACTGTCCCTACCGAGATGGGTAGGGTAATTTTTCCTTCCGGCCTGATGACGCTGCTGGAGAAGTCAACAAGGGGAGCGTCGACTGGCTGGAGTTCCTCGGGGCAAGAGAAATAGAAGCACTTATCCTTTCACCTGTGAACGGACGAGGGGTTATGCACTGGCTTCCCCTTCATCGGGTGGAAATAATACATGTTGGCCTCGGAAGCATGCTTCCTTGGCACGAACATGGCGTGGAACAATCTCAACGTCAGCTCCACGCCCCTGAGCCAAGCCCACACCATCATTGCCACGATGGTCCCAAGGGCGTTGGGTACGAGTTGGCTGATAGTGATGTCGTACCACTCCATCAGTTTGGAGATTAAGCTTGGGAGGGGAAACCTAAGGCTAGACCAAAAAATGCTAGTAGATACAGATTTCCCCCTCCTTGGGGGTCCATGGCCTATCGCCCATGTCAGGGACCCCCAGGTTATAAGACCGGGGTATGTGGAACCTCTTCGCCAAGGATTTGACTTGGCACACGTCTAAGGAGCTGTCAAACTCCGAACGCTGGACACCAGCGTCAGCCACCCTTCAGGCAGCACTCCCTCCCACTGGTTCGACGACGAGTTCCACGGCATCATCCTCGGAGAGAGGAGATCCCTCGGGCTCCCTCGGCGACACTGAGGCGGCGCTTTCATGGGGAGAGTCCTTTCCCCAGTGATTGCCCTCCGCACCCCATGAGGTTAACCTCTCCCTCAAAATGGCCAACTCCCGTCAAAGGGGGGCTACGGCTAAAGAACCCAAAGAAGACTAGGGAGAGTAGGTTGCAGGAGAGCTCCCTCCCGAGATGTTCTGGAGTTCATGGCACTCAGGACCAGAATTTGAAAATGACATGTTTTGATTACCTAAGAGAGGGTGAAATGTCCCGAATAAGGGAAGAAGTAGAAAAGTTTTGGAGAATTGAGAGTTGGGGAGCTGTGTTCACTCAAGGGCATCGTTGTGGGGGACAATAACCCCCTCTAGTTCCTCGTCGGTGAAGACGAGGGCATGTGGACAGCTTGGCCTTTGCGGAGTGTCTGGGTATTTCTGCTTCTTCGGGGCGGGTTCCTGGATGTTGAGCTGCCTGGCGTAGGCTTTTTGAGCTGAGGCTGAGACTCCACTCGAAGCCATGCCCCCAGCGATGACGTTGATGACGCTTGCCACTTGCTAGTGTTGCTGCTGCTGCTGCTGGGATGACGAGGCGCCAGCCTCTCCTCTGACGAACTACTTGAGGTGTCCTCGGCAGATGAGGGATTCTATTTCATTCTTTAGATCGTAGCAGTCCTCGGTGTCATGCTCAGTGCTGCGGTGGTACTTGCAGTACTTCGTAGGGTTCCCCCTCTTGGGGTTCCACTTCAGCTTCATTGGCCACTTCACAAACTTCTCTTCCTCTATCTGCATCAATATCTGGGTGCGGGTGGAGTTGAGTGGCATGTAGTCCTTGTAGGCTAAGGCTGGAGCCAATGGCTTCTTGTTGTTTTTGCCGCCATTGTTGTCGGGGTGGTGCTCGTCTCCACCTTTCGTCTTCTTCTTCGGGGGGCCCGTCGTGGTGCTCGACTGCCCTTTCTTGGTTGTCCCCGGCTGAAACCTCTTCGGACGCGATGTATTTTTGGACCTTTTTGAGGAAATCGAGTTTAGACTTCGGCGGAGTCTTAGCAACCGAGCACTTGAGAGTCAACCTGGGGCGGAGTCCGTTGATGGCTGCGTGCATGGAGACCATAGGGTCAAGGTCCCGAACTTCGAGCTCTTCTTTCTTAAAGCAGTCAATGTAAGATCGTAGGCTTTCACCCGGCTCCTATTTGAGCGACATCAGGGAGACTACGCTCTTCTAGCATCGTCTAGTGCTGATGAAGCGGGCGAGGAACAAGGTTGTAAATTGCTCCCACGAGCTGATTGATCGAGGAGGAATGCTGGAGAACCAGCTGCGAGCAGCCCCCCTTAAGGTAGCATGGAAGGTCCGGCACGTTAAGGCGTCGGAATAGCCATATAGTATCATGAACGCCCTGAAACCCTCTAGGTGGTCATCGGGGTCAGTGCTTCCGTCGTACGTCTCCAGTGTGGGAGCCTTTAAGTGTGGGGGGAGAGGCTCCGAGATGATTTATGGGTGAATGCGTCCATGCGGTTGGCAGAGTCGCCGTGACTGGTTGAGGCGTTGGCTCGACTCTCCTTAACCTGGCGGAGCTCGTCCTTGACAGCCCCAATCCCGGCTCACAATTCGGTGAACCCTGGATCAGCAAGGGCATGGACCCCGCTCCTATCTTCGGGGACCCGGTGGGTGTCGACTCAGACTCTTGAATATTCTGAGATAGGGTCGTGCGCTCCTCTACGGGCGCGACGATCGTTCAAAACGTCCCTGAGATCTGAGATGGGAGGTGGGATGGGGTGGCATCGTCTCTCGCTTAGGGAGTGAACTCCAGGGCGGCCAAGGTGCCCGCCATCGTCCCGGGGGTCCTCCCTATGGCGGTGGTGGTGCTGCTCCAAAGATTGATGATTGTCTTCGGATTGAGCAGGCACACTCTCCCTTCGGCTAGCAGATTACCGTGGCCGAGAGCCGGTGGTTCGACGTTCTCGTGTCGGCCCTAATCTTCTAACACCCCAGCAGGGTGGTCTCCTTGAGAGGGACCTCTTGCTCGGGGGCAAACTTCCTCCATTCGTTGGGTGAGGCGGTCCAAACGATCGAGGACGGCTTGAAATTGCTCGTAGGTGACCAGGTTCTGATTGTTTCGGGCTCTCCTCACCATGACTTTCGAGTTTATGGGGGGTTTGGATTTTGAGTATTATTACCTTTTATCCTAAAGTGGGTGTCGTCTTAGCAACGTTTCCCACAGACGACGCCAATTGTTGCTGCGCGGATTGGCCGAGGGCAACGAGGTAAATTTGTTCTTCAAGTTCTGAGTGTTGGCCGAGGACCTTGGGGCCTCGGAAGAGATTGACTGAAGCTGAGGTGAAGTATTCCTTCCAAGGACTATAATAGTCGATGACTGCAGGTTGAGGCGAAGTCCCTGGTGACCAAAGATACTGCAAGACAGGGAGTGTTAGAGGCCTCGGAGTGGATACCCGAGGCAAAGGCTCCGATGCTCAAGTTAGTATGAGGTATAAAGTAGGGGAGAGTCCAGAGAGCTCGGGAGAGAGTCATCAGATGCACCAGATCTCCCTGAATTAATGCTAGGTAGACAATGTAGGTGCAGGGAGTAAATGAGTGAGTGATGTTGGAATCACTCTGTTCCAGCCCCTTTTAAGGGGCAGTTACCTCTTATTTATACTTGAGCGTGCTGGGGGTAGGTGAAGATGAACGCCCCGGATGAGAGCCTTACGAGGTCAGGCTATAGGTCCTGGCGGGTACGTCAGACAAACATGTGGTTGGCTCCGTAGTGGCTGACGCTAGCAGGCGTTAGTGGGCTGGGCCAAGCTAACCCACATCAACACCAATGTAGGATTCTAATTCCATGCAATTTATCATTTATGTAGGATTCTCTCTCTCTCTCTATGAAAGCCTGGAAGCCTGAAACGCATTTTTGTGCCTTGAAAATCACTTGGTGGCTGCCCCAGCCCCCAGTCAGTTGAGGGCCAACCTACAGTTGATAATTCTTGGGTCCCTTGGTTCTAAGTAAAAGGCCAACCAATGTATAGTTATGGCATCAAAGACAGTTTTCAGAGTTTTCTCTGACTCTGTTTCTGAAAAGAAGAGAGCCGACATATATTCCAAAATCAGAGTTTCTCTGTGTTCCGTTGGACTGGGAATTTCAGGCCCTAACAAAGCTGAGAGACCACCCAATCCAGCTCTACCAAGATAAATATATCGAAGTTTTCCCTTGTATACCGCTGTAAATTATAAACTGGGTCATAAGGCGTCGTGCTTTGTCCAGGCCTCGGACCGACATATTGTCCCCATGGGCTTTGCTCACGCCAGCCCATTGCCACCGCTGAGGGAACACAAGAAGAAAACCACACTGCCACTATGCTACACAACAGGAGAAGAAATCCGTAGTAAACAACAGAGAATTGCCTCTCTCTCCCTCTCTCGTTCTTATTCTATGTTATGGAGATTGGGATCTCGTTTTCTGTATATTTTTCTTAAGATTAGTCTAATGGAAATCTAGGCCATTAGAAGAGAGAGAGAGAGAGAGAGAGGGAGTTAAATTAAAGGAGACACGCACATTAATATATATTTGGAAGAAAATATTTATGTTAAACAACAGCCCGTGAATTCCTTCTGGTCAAGCAATGAGCCCATAACCGTGGTCACAGGAGATTTGAACTCGACTCTTATGCTATTTACACATAATCTGTTATTCTGTATTACCATATACAGATCAGGGTTGGCAGCAAGGCAAATACCCCCATCAATCTGAAGCAAGGATGAGCAAAGACGCCCAAGCTAATTAAAACCTTGTTAACAAGAGAAAAAAAAAACAATCAAAGATATATAAAATCTGAGGATCCAAAAGAAAAGAAGAAAAGAGGAAAAAAATCATCCCCTCAACTTCAAGTCTGCAAATTTCAACACCCCATATTGGAGCATTCGAACAAGGCCTTAGCACTCATCTCCCTCTCAAATCTCCATATATAATTCAGACCCACAAGAAGCTCGGTGATGGCGGCCTCGGTCTTCGACTGGTTCGCAAAACAGAGCGTCTGCAGAAGAAGAACGTTCGTCTTTGGCAACAGATTCTGGTGTTCGAAGCTGCGCTCGCTCTGCCACTTTATCATGTTATGTGCTAATGGCGACAACCAACCCAAGATCCTCGCTAACGCATCTTTCCACTCTCCAGCAAGCACCGAATCAGTTGCTGAACACCCAACTCCTCTCAGTCTAGCCCTCAGTGACATTCTTATGCTAGCGGGAAGCATCCTGTAGAGGTCGTCTCTGGCGTCTAGACCTACGAACTGAGGTGATCTGATCATTTTCTCGATCACAATGATCAAATTCGCATAGTGCAGAGCAAGAGCTGCAGCGCCTAAGGTACCTGGTGGTGGTTTAAGAATCTTTGCGCTTGCCTCAAACAACCCAAAACCCATCTCCTCCTCGTCATGCTTAGATGTCTTCATCACCAATGGCCCCGATAGAAATTTACAGGAGGCCGAGTTGTCGGAGGGGTGGATGGCGGCCGACACAGTAAGGCTGCGTGATAGAGAAGAGCTGTTGGTTGCCAGACGTCGTCGCTTCTCAATTCCGAAGACAAGCTTGATTCTTGCCAGAATAGTGAAGATCGATTTTGCAAGCAATAACGTGACTGTGTCAAAGCTTCGGCTCCACAGGGAGTCATCTTTGAGATGCTTCACTTCCTGTCTCTGCCAGAAGAGCTTCTGTTGGAGATCGATCATCTTTTTCTCTCTGGTAGACTGGTCAAGATCACTGCATTGCAGCACTTTTCTCAAACAGTTCTCGGTATCCGAAAGCTCATCCATGGCTCTGTGAAGGGTGGAGGTTACCGTGACATAACGATCCATCTTCCTTTGCATGGATTCCATCTCCTTCCAAGGCAGAACCCAGCAGTGAGGGTCGTGGCCGGAGTTGGAGAACTCCTCGAACAGGCGATCAAAACACCGCCGACCCGAATCACGGCACCGCCTTCCGAGCCTGGACACAGACTTAGCTACAAGCCTCAAGTTCTCCACCGTCTCGGCGCAGGCGAGACCAAGGAGGAAAGCATCGTCATTGGAGACGATCTTGCGCACTCCCTCGAGAGCAATTGATTCATGCCGAAGACGAGTGAGGTTTTGGTCTGAGAGCGATTTCCAGAGATGGACGAGCTTGGACATAAGCCCGGTGATCTCAAAGGCCAAGACACCAACATTAGATTTCTTAGTCGTCCTAGCCATCTCAAGGCCGTTCGAGATGGCGTTCTTTACCTTAATTAGCCATGTCTCAAGAGCCATGGATTTGAAAGCTGAAGAAGTAGTGATCGATCGATGTTATTGTTTCTGTAAATCTGTTGAAGAAGAAATTAAAGAATGCTATGGCCTATGGGTTTGATTTTGATGTGAGAAAATTAACAAAGCTGGAAGCAGTGGAGTGGAGAAGGCAAAGGAAAAAAAATAATAGAGAGTGGAGTTGGAGATAAGGATAACAGGAGAGATGGTAAATTTGGGCTGGTTTTAAATTGTGTATGGAGACTCCTCATGACCCTTTTATGGTTGCACTTTATATCTAGCTAGGTGGGTACATGTGAAGCTTTTCTATCCTCCTTTTTCTGTCTTCTGGGAGTAAAATTGCACTTTTTAATTCTACCGTGAACTGGTTTAGCCTCTAATGAATAGGAAACTTTCCTAGAAAATTACCTTCTTTTCTTTTGATAGATAGATTGGTGGGTTAATGTGATAAAAAATAAAAGAAATGCAGAAAATGATAGCATCAGTCCGCGCATGACTTAAAAAAAAAATTGGGGTTGGGCCAATTGGATTGACTGATTGATGGGGGACCAAAAGCATGCTTTCCTTGTGGGTCTGTCTACGCCTACAATGATCTTGAAGCCCAAATGACGAGACGACCCATGAGTTGAAATGATCAAATGAACCTTTTATTTTGCAAGGTCAAACTGATCGGAGGATTGCAAATTTGCAACCATGGTGTATTGATTGATTCTGTAGATGGGTAATGGGAACTTGGGAAGGAGTCATCTGTGTCAATTGCCCAACTCAGAATACAATAAACCCACTAAAATCACATCACATAGTAGACTTAGTAGTTAGTGTGATGGGAAGAGTGAATTGGGACTGAGTGGTGGAATTTAAGTCATCAAAGGGGTCAAATGGATTCACATTTCTCTTCATTTATCTTCTTTCATCTTCTCGGCCCATGCCCACCGGCGAGAAGGCAGTTTACTAGATCCTTGTGGTCTTGTCGGGAGTTGTAGGGCTAGCATTCTACATTCATGATCCATCTCTGCATCTACATCTTGACATAAATGCTTCTAAAATAGACACCCTTTTCCTTCTATCTTCGTGTCTAATTACTACATTTTTTGGTAAAATGTGTATTTAGTACTTACTTCCAATGTTTTCATCCTCGGGTCAAACTGGTTGGTCGGATCAGTTGAACCGACCAATCTTTTGTGGTCTATTCCACCCTCAAACCCTTCTCTTGCAACAATACATACATACAAAACCAAAAACACGGGTTCGATTTTCGGTTAACTAAAAAAACCTATAGTTAACTGAACCGACCGTTATCTATAGATATATGTCACATATTATCTATATATTATGTATAAATATATATAATATATTATACATCACTTATTATTTATAATATATATTGTAAACATAAAAAACCAAAAAATCGAACTGAACCAATAACAAATCGAAACTGGTCAAACGATTCAATTTCAGGGTTTTGGTTTGAAAAAACACAAAAATCGATAGAACCGATTCGATTTCAGAATAATGCCCATGATTCAATTAACCGAACCATGAAAAGGTCTTCTTCCCCCTGATTATATTGAAACATAAAAATACTTAATATTTTACATATCGGGGCGGGGTACGGGTACAATGTTATAGTCCTGATAAAGCCCGATACGTGAGGAAATTTTTATCCTTGTTTGAAATTATTAATACATTTGATTTGAAATAATCACTTAGCTCTGAAGAGCATAATCACAGAGATTGGACAGAGAAATAGTTGCCATTCTGTCAGTATTGGGCAGGAAAGATAAGATTCTGTTTTTCCTAATTTAAGACATAAGGAGACATGGCACATGCTACTTTAGATTAGAACCTCTTTCATCTAAATGATTGTCTTTCTATAATCTATACTATTTCATAGTCCAATTTGCTTGCCTCAATCCACTTTTCTTTTAACCGTTGTTGACCCGACGACGCACCATCCCAATTCCCAACGCCCCCGTTTCCCATTCTTTTATTGGGCTGTTTCCTGCAGCCTGCTTGGCTAGTTCCAACTTCGAGCCCTTCTTATCAAGGGATGCCTCACAGGTACATTCCACCTTTTATTAGGAATATCTCGTGCGTTATTTTTATGGGAAATGTTCCAATGATGGGATGTGTTTGTGAGGCCAGTGTGAGGCGCCCTGTGTGAGTAGCAGATCCCAATTTTCTTATTAAGCAACGACCCACCGTGGGCCTCAAACAAACCCGGCCTGCATTAGCTGCTGCCTTTTTCAACGACAATTCTGGGTCCAGTTTTAAACCGGGTATAAGTACAAGTGTACAACTTAGCCCCGACCTTGACCTTCACATCCCAGTATATATCCAATGTTGGTGCAAGTGTGTAACTAAAGCTAGTGCTGCCAATTTGTCAGTTTTGGTCGGGGTCAGGGGTAGAGTAGACGAACCTGTCCCAAACCAATAATAAGTAAATGTGCAAACCAGACCCACTAATAGACTCGGAATCAGGGCTGCAACTTGGGTGGGTTCTGGTTTTGATCATTTGTCAAATTTTGAATGAGTTGCGTTAATTCTTCAAGCCGGGTGCTTAACTTGCACCTATATCCAGACTTATCCCAACCAATTTTTTGAAAACCGATTTAGAAACTGAACCGCTTTTCCTTCCGGTTCTTGGATAAATGACTCAATAATGGCTCTTTTCAATCTGTCATATAAGTCAGAATGGTATGTTAGGTGAGATTTGAGTAGTAATATAATCATCAATATATATTCAATACATATAATCATCAATATAGTTGGTTCGGGTCATAGGAATAGTCAAAACCGATGTTTTCAAACCGCTACTAACCCAGACAGTTGGGCCATTTGGCTCAGGAATTATCCAGGCAATTGGTTTCGTTTTATCTTAAACCTGGTCTCTAGCAAAAAACTATTGAATTGGTCAATGACCCATTATTCCGAATGATCAAATCATTGACCCGTTTAACAATTTATTTTTTATTTTAATTATTTTTTAAATTTTTTTGTCATATTGAACCATCCATTCAAACAGGATGGTCAAACTGTCAACCTAGAAACTGATGACTAAAACAATTTCAATTTCAGGTCATTTTTTAAAACATTGGTCAAAACCACTTCCGCCCAAATGCCCAACCATACGATTACAGTTGGACATATAACACAAGCCTGACCAGAGTTCAGATCTGCACCCCATGATGAGGCACCCCACAATGTCCCACAGCGCATCCCCATCTTGTATTGGGAACATCTCCAGATAATGACATTATTAAGTCTGATACTATTATCAGGAAACATTTTCAATACACACAGGGATGCAATGTGGAACATTGTGGGGCGCCCCCTTCTAGGGCGCAGATGTAAACTCGCCTGACCAACATCCGGACCCATCAATACTCTACCAAGTACATTTGCTTTAGCCCATTATTGGACAGTTCACCTTCCTGAAGGCTCTAAAATTATTTACCTGAATTTGGGACACCTGCGCCATTCGGTCTGTTAACTGTGACATCCTCCAACCTCCAACCTCCAACCTCCAACCAACTATTATTTGATTAACTGATTTGGTGGGACTACACCATAGGACGACCGAGATTAAATTCCCCCAAAAAAATCGGATTTGGTCCCCACAGGACCGTGTTCATACCGTTCGCACTAGACATGGCAAAACGCGAGCCCGACCCAATCCAATTCAAAAAGATAGGGTTAGGGTTTCAAACTTAGTTACCTGAATTTGAGAATATTCTGATCCAATTCATTTTGGAAAAATTGGATTAGATTGGTCATGGATTCATGGGTTAATCCATTGATCCAATTGTCAAGTCTAATTGGGACTACTTATATATTGTTAAAAGTTTTTATTCTTTAATTCTGATTATTTAGTCTTTACTTTTTATTGTTTATTTTTTGAATTGTTAAAGGTTTAATTTTTTTTTAATTTAATTTTTTAGAATTTTAAGATTAATTCCTTTAATTTGGCATTTTCATGTATTTTTTTTTAATTTCAATCTTTTTGGGATGACCCAAATTAACCTATGGATCAACCCTAACCCGAACATTTGAGATTAGGATCTAACATTTTTTTACCCAACCTGAAACCAATTCAAAGTGTCTTGACCTAACCCAAATCCGACCCACCTAACCCAATTGTTGAGTCTAGTTCCAACAGTCCATTGCAACCCCACTTGCTGAAACTGGATCTGCTCCTCACACAGGGCGCCTCAGACTGACCTCCCAGGTACATCCCACCGTGTATTGAAAACATTTCCTATACTTATGTGTTATTATTTATGGGAAATGTTCCCAATGCACAGTGGGAAGTGTATGAGGAGAGCCCAGATCTCTTGCCCATGAGAACTCTGCCCACGTTTGCCCACATAACATTGCAGCCACACATGGAAAATATCTCATCCTCCTACATAGTATTATGTAGGGGAAATGTTCCAAATTCATGAGGATAGTGTGTTGTGAGTAGCAAGGTTCAAAGTATCGGCCCGTATTGGCCGATACGTATCATTCCGGCACCCCTCCAATATACCCCTATAATGGGCGTATCGAGGGTCTGACTGGTCCAGGGGATGAAGGAGACCTAAACTGCCCCCCCTGACGGTTGCAAAAAAAATAAAATATATATATATATATATAAAGGGTATCGATTCACCTGATACGCTCATACCGACGTATCGGACATATCAATATTTTAAACCTTGGTGAGTAGACGTGGGCAGACTTCTCATGGACAGGAGATGCAGCATCATATGAGAGGCCCTGCGTGAGGAACAGATCCCAATTCCCATTTCCCGCCCTTTAGCTGGGTCGACTCGGCGATTCCGTACCTTGTAGAACTAGAGAGAGAAAGAAAGAGGGAGAGAGAAAGGGGTTTCTCTTTTTGATGCCAAGGCTCAAGGCAGAAAGCACAATCTATTGCGTTGTCATCTCCACATTCCCCCAAATGTTGCATTATTTGGATCCCACATTCCCAATATGCTTTTAGCAATTCAGGCTTGGTGGCAATAAGAGAGGTTGCGCATGGAAATTGGAAACCGACAGACAATCCATGGCCATGGGATGGAGCTCTCATACATACATACTCATAGCCTCTCTCTTTTTCTCTCTTTTCTCCCTCCCAACAATTGTAACAGGCGCTTAGGAGATTGCTTCCCTTTATGTGGGCATACCCTAGAGATCAGTAGAGATTGCTCTCAAACACTAAACTCTTATAACCTCCCCTCCTCATTCCTCACCAATGAAGATGTTCCT